AAAGAGGACAGGTTGTGGGCTCTGCTTTGAAAGGCTCCTAGCTTGATAGGAGAACTCATCTAGAATTCTTCACTTCAGCCCAGCCAGTCATCTTTCATTTTCCCCAGGCAAGCAGAGTCCTGTGTCGCTACTCACACCGCGCCCACAGTTTGCAGTGTCGCAGGCCTTCCTGCTCCACAGAGCCACGGAAGCAACTCGTAATTCAAGTCATAGTCGGGTCCCCCTTTTCTTTCCAGCTCACCTTCCTCTTCTCTGTAATTCCTTGTAATGTTTATTGTCTAGGCATTTTATTTAAGACCTATTTGCCATTTATTATCCGGTGAGGTAGCTCTTTGTACTCCAACAGCCTCTGCACGTGTCACAGAGCACTTTTACGTACGTTCTCTTATTTGAGCCTCACAACGTACGGCAGGTGGTGTTCGCATTTTCACAGGGGAAGAAACGGCCTGCACGGAGTTAGGTGGCTGTATATGCTTGTGTGGCTAGTGAGTTGTGCTGTGGTTCTTCGATCTGAGCCCTTTTGAACCTTTGAAGGTTGTGTGGCCCCGAAGAAGAGCGCGGCTTTGGGAACCTAGAAGCATGTAACCCAGTGAGCAGACTGGAAAGCCCAGAGGGGTCTGGTTCAGGCTTTGCTTGCGCTTTTGGCTTCACCTCTTGCCTTCTGTGTAGCTTCAGAGAAGTTGCTCAGGTCTCTAAGCCTCAGCTTCTTTGTCAGCACTGGTCCCGGCCTGCCTCTCTGTGGGGTGATGGAGATGTCCAAATCTGAGGATAACGTTACCAGCTCCCTGGCTTTGAGCACTTACCCTGCACTGTCCGAAATGTTTTACATGGATTATCTCAGCTAATCCTCGCAACAGCTCTCAGAAATGTTCTCTGCTTGTTCCCAACTAAACAGGTGAGGAAATTGAGGCCCAGAGATAGGAAGTGACTGGACCGAGTTTATGTAGCTACCATATGCTGAAGCCAGGAATTGAACAGAAGCAGCCCCCGTCTAGAACCGTAACCGCGGTGCTAAACAAGTCTTCTTGAAGGTCCTCTGTAGACTGTAAAGTGCTGTGCTCCTGCGGAAGCCCAGGCTGCAGGGAGCTGCGCGGCCCTGCCCACCCGTGTAATGGGGATAGAGAAGGGAGGGGACAACATGGAGCTTTTGCAGGGGAGGAGAAGAATGGTTTCTTAGGGAGTCTGGCCAGGATTGGAGATGTGGAGAGGGGTTTGGGAGCCGTGTATCTGGCCGTTGGCTATCACTCTACTGTTAGGCTCTCTGGCCTGCCTTAGCAAGAGGGTGGAATGGAGAAAGACCCTGCTCGGCCAGTGAAGCCCAGTGCGGACAAGACAGGTACTTCCAGGCCCAGGGCATCTACATCCACGCTGCGCCCAGTGAAGCCAGAGGTCAGCGCCTTGGACAACCCTGTTGGCTACTTCGGGACAGGGACCCTGAACTGCTGGCTTACAGCCCATGCTAGATGGGTACATGAGTGCAGTGGTCTGGGTCACAGAGCCCTCTGGAGATCTCTCACTAGGCTGTATCATCTTATTAAATTAAACATTTTAAATGATAAAAGGAACCCATGATTATTTTTAAATACATTTTGTGCAATATAGAAAATCAGCTTTTTCATGGTTTCTGTTCAGGAGATGCCTGGGCAGCAAGGCCAGGAGCGCAGGGCGCAGGGGCCAGTGCTGGGGGGGCTGCGGTACGTGACTTGCCGTGTGTGTGGGTGTGACGTTGCCGCCATTGCTGCCCTTCCTTTGCTGTGTATCAGGGCAGGGTTCCTGGCTCCTCTGGCCCAGGGTACGATTGAAATCCAGACCCTAGTCACGTGGGTCTGGCCCTGAGGCCAGAAGTTAGAAGGGGAGGGAGGAAGGAGAGTGAGATGCCCTGTTCTGGCCGAGTGCAGGCCCTGCTTTGAAGTGCCACTTGATGCGTGTGGGTCTGCTGAGGTCTCGGATCCTGGGGGCGGGGGTGGGGGTGGCAGGGATGGTGAGGGCGTGCAGACTAGGGGGACCGCCAGGGCTGTGCTCCCGGCTCTAGGACGGTGGGCCCAGTCCCGCATTCCCTGTCCCTCTTGTCCTGGCCCAGGTGGAGCAGGGGGGCATTAGGACCCAGAGGCCAGCGCGGCTCCTGACAAGTCTAGAGCAGCACTAGCGCAGAGTGAGACTCATCAGCTGGCAGCAGGACTCCTGTGTCTGGGTTCAGGAATCCTCTGGCAGCAGGGGCTCTGGCTGCTCAGCCCCCATCTCTGTCCCCATCCCTCCCCCAGCGGGCCACCCAGTGAGGTCCATGGACTGGGGAGGGCCATGCCTGCCAGCTCCTGCGCTTGTCCATGAGGGCCCGGAGCCCTGACCCTCCTGCCTAGCTTTCTGCCTTTTCTCTGTCGCTGGCCACCTGGGGGAGGGGGTGGAGGCCAGGGGAGCAACATGGCCCAGAGCAAGAGGCACATGTACAGCCGGGTAAGTGGCCCTGATCTGGGAGGGCCCTGGAGAAGGCCTGGGTGCCTGTGGACATTGCTGTGGGGGCTGGGAGACAGGCTGGGGCCACTCGCAGCCCCGCTGGTGCTGGACCGCACAGGCTGCCCTTCCCAGCGCTGGGGCCTCGGTGGATACTGGCAAGGCCTGACTGCTGACTCTGATCGGAGCTCGGACCAGAGGTTCCTGCGGGTGGCCAGACCATCCTGGGGATTCCGAGTGGGGTCGGTGGGCTGGAATGGCCTTGCAGTGAAGCCTTTCTTTCAAGCAGCTTTGTTTTGTGTCACTTGCTCTTCCGCTCTTCTGGCCGAGGCTGAATCCGGAGTGTCCACCCAGTGTGTCCACCCGGGTCTGGGAGGCTGGTTAGGGTTAGGAGGTTGGGGAGAGTCTCTGAGTTTGAGGCCAGCCCTGATGTTACGGTCAGTTTCTTTTATTGTCGGGTCCATGAGAGCCACTCTGCTGTCTCAGGTATGATTTGGGGTCCCGGAGCCCCTGGGAATGTTAGCCTCAGCTTCCCAGATGAGCTCTTTTGGGGAGAGCGTTGGGGAGTGACTGGCTCTGGCCAGGTTCCCTTATGTAGCCAAGTGGGGCGTCAGAAGGGAACCCTGTGGCGTCTTCAGGGCCATGCTTTCACTTCATGCCTCATTCACCTGTTTGCAAGGCCCCTGATTCTTGGAGCTGGTATTGCTAAAAATGGCTTAGGTGTGATTTTCTTCTAAACCCTGGGCCTGTTTGGGACCTAATTTCACGTTGTCCTGTCATCACGGATGTGTCAGAAGCTGAGAGGTTCCCAAGGACAGCGTTCAGTCAGTCCTGCGCTTTGTCCATCCGAGGGGTGATAAGGCATCCGTTTGGACCAGTGGGCAGAGTCTGGGGACAGACCTGAGGTACCTGCCTTACCTGGCCTTCATTTTTGTTTTCATAGCAGCAACCCGAGTGAAGACTCTCCAGAGCTGTGGGTAGAGAGTTGGTAGCACAGGCTCAGGCCGGGAAGAAGGGAGTCAAATGGCTGAGTGGGCTCCCTGAGGCGTCTGGGAGTGTGCCGGCAGGGGGGTGGGGTGGGGGTGGGGAGTCAGCCCAGGTAGGAGTGGTGGTGACCTAAGGGCTAGAAGGGGGGCGGTTGTGTGCCGCTGAAAGGGAGAGGCCTTAGAGAGCCACCTGAGCCTCAGGGAAGACAGGCAGCAGCGGGGAGGGGAGCAGGGTGCTGTGGGGTCACTCATGGACTCGCCTGGCCCACGAGTCAGGGCACTGTGCTGTGGGGAGCCTGGGCTAAACCACGTCATTTGCTTGAGCAGTTCCCCTCCTGGGGGCGGTGTTCCTGAGGGAGCAGCCATGTGGGGTGACACTTACAGATCAGTGAATTTTGATTTATTGTTAAATTTAAGTATACACTTAAAAAAATTTCTGGCAGATTCCAGAGGAGTCTAGAGAAATTTTAGAACACATCACTGACATTTGTCAAAGGGGAATTTGACAGGGGGGACTTCACCGTGAGAAATGGGGTCCAGGCCAGGGTCCTGACTGGGGCCTTTCTCACCATCAGGATGACACCTCTGACCTGAGGCTTTTAACCCTGCACGTTTGCGTGTCTTTCAGACTCCCAGTGGCAGCAGAATGAGCGCGGAGGCAAGCGCCCGGCCCCTGCGAGTGGGCTCCCGTGTGGAGGTGATTGGAAAAGGCCACCGGGGCACCGTGGCCTATGTTGGAGCCACACTCTTTGCCACTGGCAAATGGGTAGGCGTGATCCTGGATGAAGCAAAGGGCAAGAATGATGGAACTGTCCAAGGCAGAAAGTACTTCACTTGTGATGAAGGACATGGCATCTTTGTGCGCCAGTCCCAGGTACTCACCTCCTTTGTGTGTGTGTGTGTGTACACGCATGAACGCACGTGGGCGTGGACCCATGCTCTGTTGCATGCGCAGCTGCTGTGCTGGGGCTCTCGAGTCCTGGGTATGAGCTTAAGTCTCTGGGTGGGAGAGTGGGAGGTAGTGGGGGAGGGAAGACTGAGAGCCATCCTTAGGGAGGCTGCCCTGTACCCCAGGCTTGCTTAGGACCTGGGCAGGGGCCCCTGTTCCGTCCACCCATCCGTGATCTGGCTATAGTGAGTCTGTTCTGTGGCCTCAGATCCAGGTGTTTGAAGATGGAGCAGACACTACTTCCCCAGAGACACCCGATTCTTCTGCCTCGAAGGTCCTCAGGAGAGGTGAGCACCACCTACTTGCGTTGCTCCTCACACCCGCGAGTCCCCAGGACTTCTCCCCCGAGCAGGGGCCGCAGGTGGATCCTGAGATTTTCCATCAGTGCTGTATGGCCTTGTTACACCCTGCCTGCCCGGCCGCGGTGCTCTGTGCCCCTGTGCCTCAGTGCACACACTTTGTTTCTGTTTGCATTCTGCAGAGGGAGCTGACTCAAACGCAAAGACCAGCAAACCAGTAAGTGGTTGGGGGTGGGCGTGGGGAGCAATAGGGAGAAAGCGGGAAAGGAGGAAGAGGGGAGGGAGACCCCATCCTAGGCAGGGAGAAGCAGTAGGTGAGTAGACGGAGTTAGCCTTCCAGCCTCCATTCTCCCTGCGAAGGACGCTTTCTGGGTGTGAGTTGCAGCCTTAGCGCTAGAGGCGGTAGCAGAGCAAAGCTGTTAGGGCCCAGAAGTTCTGGATCCATTGGAACTGAGGCTCAGGGGCATAAGGAGGCCAGGTCTGACTCTAGTAGTGTCAGCTTCCTGCCTTTTGGTCCCCAAGGCTGCCGGCACCCGAGGGGTGTAGGGTAGGGGGAAGGTAGGGACTGGAGGAGTAAGGCGCGCTCGTATTCACAGGTGAATGGAAGGGAGCCGGGCCCTCTGCCACCTGTTGTAGGCTGTGTGCGGAGGGCCCGCTGTAGCTCCCCTCTGCTGCTCTGTCCAGGGTGTGTGAGGTGGGGCTCCAGGCTCTCCAGCTTCCCTGGGCCAGGTAGTGGGCCTCCTGGAAGCTGATCCTTGAGAGACCCCTCTTCTCACTTAACCCTGGACTTGACAGTGACCTGACTCCGCCCACACCTGTGTGTGCCTGAATTGGTCCTAACACCTGTACCCAGGATGTCTGGCCAGCCAGCGCCGTGTGACCTTCACTCTGTTCTCTAACTCTGCCCTTTCCTACTCCTCATGCAGCGGGGACTGAAGGCTAAGAAGGTGGTGTGTTTACTGTTTGTGCCTGGGTGGGTGAGGGCCATGAGCCCCCTCCCCAGCTGTCCTGCATGTCCTTGGGCTGCTGCATGCCTGTGTGTGCGTGTGCGTGCACCCTTGGGACTGGGGTGGCCAGAGGACATGGCAGCCTGGCTTTCAGAATTCCTTTGAGGGGTGCAGGGTCCTCAGGCTCAGTGTCCAGGCCCAGGTTGCACTGACTGGGGGTGATTCTCACCCGTCCTCACACCCCTGCCCCTGCCTCCGGACTTCTAGTCAGAGATGCCAAGCATTTGACCGGAAACAGCAGCTGCGTGGAGTAGAGCGTTTACTGGGTTGCAGTGGCTTCTCACTTAGCCTGAACTGAGGGGTAGTGGCAGGGGAGACCGGGGGTTCGGGAGTGGGGGACTTACGAAGTGAGGAGGTTGGGTGAGGAGGCGGGCGGTCAGGGAACAGAGCACAGGGGGAGCAGTCCTGAGTTCAGAAGCCTGCGCTGTGCCTGCCTCTGGGTGGTGCTGCCGTGAAGCCCGCCCTCCCTGCCTCGTCCATCCGCTGGGGCTGAGCTGCCCGCCTCCCCTGGCCCGCAGCCTTCCGCCAGCCAGCATCAGAGTGTGGCTCAGCCGTGCCGCTCCTGGGGCTCTGTCCTAAGTCGCTGCCATGACCACTTCTTCACACCAGCCCCTGCCCTGGGGGCTGTCCCCAGGCTGTCCCCCCCGCATGTGCCTGTCTGACCTGTATGCCCTGTGGTGTGTGTATGTTTCTGTGGTTTCCTCGTCGCCAGTCTGTTTCTGGCCCTTCTGACCTTGCATGGGGAGCTGCTAGGTTGAGGCAGTGGGGTGGGGAGGAGACGGATTTTGACGTCTGTTTGGTGGCGGGTCCTCACTTGGGAGTCTTGCCTTGGAGGAGACAATATGCTGGGGTCCTGGCTCAGGACGGAACAGGGATGTAAGAAGGAAAATACCGCCCTTAAGGATGCTGGACCCGCTGCGGACACTTGGCTTTTCCCCTTGATTGTTGTCTCCTGGCTGCGGCTCCCATCTTACCGCAGGCCCCCGAAGAGACCAGAGCAGAGAGCTGCAGTCTGGGGTCTGTGGAGGAGTTCTGGCCGCAGTCCCACCTGGCCCTGGGTGGGGCCTGAGCCGTGCCCAAATCTCGGGGTTTTGGCAGCTGCCTGGGGAGATGTGGCAAAGCCCGGCCTAGGCTCCCTTGCTGCGCCTTGGCTCCCGGTGGGTGCAGAGTGCCAGTGAAGTAGTCCAGGCCCCCACTCGGTCTCCCTCCACAGTGCTTCTCTCACAGGGAGCAGGGAGCTGCACCAGAACAAAAAAAGGGCTTTTAAAGGGGGAGGGCGGGAGAGAAACCAGACGTCTCTGCAAGGTGCGCAGCCCTTTCTAGAAGCCCGTTATAGACAGACGCAGCCCTGCCTACAACCAGGGGAGAGTTGGGAGAGGAGCCAGACACTGTCATTAGCGCTGCCGCTGCCCAGATGGAATGTTCCCCAGGGTTTCATATGTGCCCTGCAGAGCTGGTGTCATCACAGGAGGGGTGCTCTGGGCGCCCGCACCTCCTGAGCCACCATTAGGGTGTTGTCTGTTTGTATGAGACAGAAATGGAGATGATGGGGTTGTGGGCAGAGGGGAGTGAGGGCATGAGAGAGGCTGATGAAGCAGCGAGACCCGGTGTCCCTGTCCAGTGATACCCCTGGTCCCAGAGAGGTCATCGCAGAAATGGGATGGCCCCCAGCCCAATTTCTTGGAGCAAATTCTTGGGGATGGGGTCTCAGGAAGGGGAGGGAGGAGCCAGAACCAGTTCTTTGGAGGAGGAAGCAGGGCGGGTTCAGGGGAGGACTTTGTCCAGTCATGAGGAGGAGGAGGAGCCAGCAGAGCCTGGCGGTTGCTAGGTGACCGAGGATCAGTGACTCCACCCACAGTGGAGAAGAGGAGGGTGGGTGCATGACGTCAGGCGGAGCTGGTGCTGCGACCACTGAGGCTGCCATCAGCCTAAGCTGGCGAACTAGGCCGGATGCCTCTCCGGTGCCTGCCGGAGCCTGGCTGTCCCCACCGCACACCTGTGGGGGCTTCTGCATCTGAGCTGCAGCCCTTGGCCAGCGGGGGAGCTGCCAGGCCGGGAAGCTGAGGCTGCATTGTTGGGATTTGATGCACTAATCTCCTGTCTCCGCCGCCTTTCCCTCTGTTCGGTCTCTTTCCCTCCCTCCTTCCTCCGTCCTTCCCTCCGTCTGTCCTTCCTCTGTTTCCTCTCCTGGCTCTCTTGGGTTTTCTGCAATGATGAGACAGGCACCGACAGCCCGAAAGGTACTCTTGCTCGCTCTGGTCCTGCTGCCGGGTTGGCAGCGTGATGGTGGCAGCAGGCTGCTGGGGTCGGGGTGGGGGCTGGTTGCCTTCCTCCGTCTACTTGGTCGGGGGAGGAGGACAGGGATGCAGGTGGGGGCAGGGAGGGGCGTGTGTCGCTGCCGTGCCCCACGCCCGGGGCGTCTGCTCCGTGACCTGCCTCCTTTTGGCTCTGAATCTCTGTTCCGGGCCTTGTACCCAGTGGCCTCACAGGCTTGGGCTTCACGCATCTTTTGCTCTGGGAGCGATTCCTCTGAGAGGATCTGGGGAAGGAGGTCCACATGTTCATGCCTCTAGCAGGCCTGCCTCACCCGACCGTTGCTAGAATGACCCTTGGTTGCACTGCCAGCATCCCACCCTCGCTGGGGTTTGTACCAAGGGGCTCTGCCTAGAGTAGCTTTTGACACACAGCTATGGAGGGTCACCCAGGGTAGTAGAGGGCGGGGTTAGTCTCCTGGGGAGACCTAGAAGCAGGGCCCAAGGCAAATCTTGTTTTTGCCAGATCTGTGAGACTCTGGGTGGCAAGAACACCATTTGGGTGTTGGAGTTAATCATCTGTTTCCCACTTTGCAGTGACCTGAGGGGTTTCTGGCTTTGGCTCTGGGCAGTGGTTTCCCAGTGCTGCTGCCCGCCCCCACCTCCTTTCTTGCAGGCGGATGGGGTTACTTTGCTGAGCTCTGAGCTTCTGGCTAATGCAATATTCATGGTGCTGACACCTGAGCCCTCTGCCCTGGGCTGGGGACTGCTGCGAGAACTGGTCCTGGGGAGGGGGTTGGGGTGCGGGAGGACAGCCTCCCTCCTCTTCCTC